GAGACCAGTACCATTCGCGAAGCGCTACGATTCAGTGCCCTTCTCCGACAGCCGGCATCGGTGAGCAAAGCGGACAAGTATCGGTATGTCGAAGAGGTGATCGACCTGCTGGAAATGCGGGCGTACGCGGATGCAGTCGTCGGTGTTCCGGGCGAGGGTTTGAACGTTGAGCAGAGGAAGCGACTGACTATCGGGGTGGAACTCGCTGCAAAACCCGATCTACTGGTCTTTCTTGACGAGCCAACCTCAGGCTTGGACAGCCAGACTGCTTGGTCGATCACCCTACTGCTGCGCAAGCTGTCCGACCACGGGCAGGCGATTCTGTGCACCATCCACCAACCCTCGGCGATTCTCTTCGAGCAGTTCGACCGTCTACTCCTCCTGGCCAAGGGCGGTCGCACGGTCTACTTTGGACCGATAGGACAGAATTCCCAGGTGCTGACCAGCTATTTCGAACGACACGGTGCTAGGCTGTGTACCCGTGAAGAAAACCCGGCTGAATGGATGCTAGAAGTCATCGGAGCAGCGCCTGGCACGCAATCCACGCACGACTGGGCAACGACATGGAAGGGGAGTCATGAATACCAGGAGGTGCGACGAGAGCTGCAGCATCTTGAAGAGCGCCAGGCTTCGACACAAAGCTCTGCAGTCGACTCTGACCAACAGTACGCGGCGCCGTTTCTGACCCAGCTCCAACTATGTACCCAGCGAGTGATGGAGCAGTACTGGCGAACGCCCTCCTACATCTACGCGAAGCTCATCCTCTGCTTTGGCGCGGTAAGTCTGCCCCCCCTGCTCCTCTTTACATGCAGTTCTCATCACCGACGCAGGCCCTGTTCATCGGCCTCTCCTTCCTGAACACCGAAATCACGATCCTCGGCTTGCAGCACCAGACCTACGCGATCTTCATGCTTCTCGTCATCTTCGCCTTCCTAGCCTACCAGACGATGCCCAACTTCATCAAGCAGCGCGACCTGTACGAGGTCCGCGAACGGCCCGCCAAGACGTACGCCTGGTCGGCCTTCATGCTGGCCAACGTCTTCGCGGACCTGCCCTGGAACTCGCTGGCGGCGGTGCTGATCTTCCTCCCGTTCTACTACCTGATCGGCATGGACCGCAACGCGCAGGAGACGCACGCCACGCGCGAGCGCAGCGGGCTGATGTTCCTGCTCATCTGGTCCTTCCTGATGCACTGCGGCACCTTTACGATCATGATGGTGGCGGGCGTGGCGACGGCCGAGGTGGGCGCGACGCTGGCGCTGCTGCTGTTCTGCATGTGCTTGATCTTCTGCGGGTGAGTTTGTCCCCTATCTCCAGTTCAGTTCCTCTTCACCATCGATCCCAGCTAACCCCAACCCCCAACCCCGGAAATAAAGGGTCCTCGCCTCCCCCACAGCCCTCCCGGGCTTCTGGATCTTCATGTACCGCGTCTCCCCCCTAACCTACCTGGTCAGCGGCATGCTCTCCACCGGCCTGGCCAACACTGAAGTCCACTGCTCCACCCTCGAGCAGATCACGATCCAGCCCCCGTCCAACCAGACCTGCGGCAGCTATCTGGCCGCGTACATGCAGCGGGCCGGCGGCAGCGTCGCCAACCCGCAGGCCACGCGGGACTGCGCCTACTGCCAGATGACGGACTCGAACGTGTACCTGACGGCACTGTCGGCGGAGTATGCGGATCGCTGGCGGAATTTCGGGCTCATGTGGGTTTATATCGGGTTCAATGTGGTTGCGGCGTTGGGGTTGTATTGGGGGGTGCGGGTGCGGGGTGGGGTGGATGTTTCGCGGTTGTGGCGGTGGGTGAAGCGGGGTTAGGGCTGGTGGGGAGGGTGAATTCGGGGGGTTTTGAGTGTGGGTTCGTTGGTAGATGGTGGAGTGGATGTGTTTGATATGGTTGTGTTGTTGATGTACTGTAAACCCATCTGCGGGGTTTATCTTCACTCAATTGGTAATTAGTGTCTATTGCAGTTTCTTTTCTTTCGCCAGGTGTGGTTGTCATAGTCAGGTGTTTACTCTTTGTTTGTCCATCTTGGGCTCGGCTCGAACAATGATGTAAAAATCTCAACAAGAGTGCGATTCCTATCCCTGCACATCAGACTATGTCTACTTCAAGGGTTCTAGTTCTTGCGCCTGGCTCTATTTCGCCCCCGGTGAGATTGACGTCATTCGGCGCCGAAGCCAAAAGTGGAGCCACTGGTTTCGCATCGGGACTCGGCGCCGAACCGATAAGATTAGTAGGCCTAAGCAGTGTGATTAGATCCAATGCCATGCCGATTCCAGGGCCAGAGCTTCCATGACGAAGGAGGCGATCAAGTCGGTGCCAGAGAAGAAGTGACAATATCGGTCATTATTGTATTGGTGAGCAATAGTAACAACGTATGCATGGACAAGAAGAACCATGACTGTTTGCGCAACTGTGCTGTGGTGCATGTAAAAACCATGATGTAAAGCTGTAGAAGTCTCACTGCCAAACTAACTCAAGAAAAGAGTAAGGAAAGGACAATGTACACAGAAAAGTCAATAATCACAGGATGAGCAGTAGCCAAGCAATAAAGCACAAAGCAAGGGACAATCGACTCCGTCCACACTTTCGTCTCCACAGAAACGCGCTCTCAACCCGTATATCCCAAGCCATGGAAGTAGCAGTGTACACCCCCCCTAACCTCTATCTGGATTCGCCCGAGGTCCGTGATCTGGTCTCATTGTCATTCACGGTGGTTGACTCTCACAACCACTATCGTAGGGCCAGTTCCGTCGAGGCAAAGAATTACTAAGTAAACTCGGCGAAGTCGGCGTTGACCTCTCCGTTGAAGGTGATCTCGATGTGGTCTTCCGAGGGCTCAGATGGGGTGTATGATGGACGCTTGTTGTTGTCGTGGCACTTCTCGTCGGGGCAGGGGTCCTCGTGGCAGCCGTCGTCGGGGCACTCAACTGGGGTGGGCGATGGATCAGTGCAGGGTCCCTTAGGGCAGTTGTCGTCAGGGCAGTTGTCGTCAGGGCAGGTGTCATCGGAGCAGGTCGTGTTGACGCAAGGATTCTCGGAACACGGAGGAGGGGTCGTTTTGCAGGTTTTGCAGGGAGTAGGGGTCGGCTCGCAGTCATCACATGGAGTGGGGGTCGGTTCGCAGTCAACACAGGGGGTAGGAGTAGACTCGCACTCGTTGCATGGCGTCGTAGTGGGCGGCACCACAGGTGAGGGAGTCGTGGTGCACGAGGTCACAGGAAAGGGAGTCGTAGTGCAGGAGGTCACAACCGACGGTGTCGTGGTAGATTCGCACTCATGGCACGGAGTCATAGTCGACGATGTTACAGGCGACGGAGTCGTAGTGCAGGTGACTATAGGGGAAGGTGTCGTCGAGCACGAGGATGTCAACGGCGCAGTCGAATCACCCGGCAACGAGTCCGTAATAACCGGTTCCTGAGGACTAGGAGGCGGCGAGGTAATCTCAGAAGAGGGAATAGTAGTGGAGGGCTCCTCCGGCTCCTGGGCAAAAGTAGGTGGATCCTCAACCTCCAGTTCTGGCGCATTGCCGGAGCCCTGGCCTGGTGCCGGCAAGTCCTGCCTAGACCGACGCCAGACTGACGGGGTCTCTGTCGGCTGAACCCAGATTGTCCACGCGTCATCAGGCTGGATCAGGGTTGGCGGAGTGGCGGACGGCGAAGGTACCCACGAGCTCGCTGGAGTTGATGATGGAACGTAGCTCACGAAGCAGTAGCCCTGCGTTTGAGCCTGCGGAGGCCCGACGTCTACTATCGCGGCGCCTGGGACAGTGGTCCTGCTGTGGTCGATACCGCTGAAGACACATGTAACATCCGGGGTGCTGGATGAGATGCGGGAGATGCTCAGTCCGTTGTCTGTTGAAAAGAAAAGTGTTAGCAATCATGGAAGGCCAAACACGAAGTAGTACTGCGACGGGAAGTCGTACTAATGGCGATAGGAGCTCCATCGGTGGGAAAGCTCTGTGTGAGCTGCACGCCACCGGCCGCGTAGAACGTTATTGGAACTTCGTTGCGCGAGCGAGCGGTGGGCAGAGCCCGCGCAAGAAGTCCGAACGAGGCAATGGTGACGAGAGTAGATGCTGAAGCATACATTGTGATGGTTGATCTTTGTAGCAAAGAGGCTTGGTTTGGAGATTGAACGATCGAGAGCAGACTTGAATGTTGCTATTGTACTTGCTGTTGTTGTGAGGATGTCCAGTCGATGTTGTCTGATGCCCTTGAGGTTTATATAGACTTCGTCTTCATACTACAAGCTATATCTACCGCAGATAGAGAGGCTATGCTCCTGACAGTATGGTAAACAGTGAGGCTCAATCCCGAAGCCCGTCAAAACAAAAAGACGACCGGCACCCAACCATGGATGAACTCACCAGTGCATCAGGCTGAGCCCTTCCGACCTAAACCATTCGCGCCGAAAGCTCCAATAAATCCGGGGAAGGCTTATTCCACAAGGCTTGTGTGGACGAAAATAGTGACAGGGTGCAGTGCCTCCACGGCCCGAACCATGGAAGAGATACGACACCACCAATGATCAAAAGTGGCTCGCCGGCGTACCAAACAATAGCAGCAACACGAACCCATGCATGCTCGAGTACTCTTGGGTCAATCACGAGCAGGTATTTTAAGCTGATGCTACACGGAAACAGACTATGGACTAAGCCACTTGCTTCGACTGAGCGGGTACCAAAGCCACCGCTCCGTTTGGGTGCATAACTTAAAAGCGGCTGTACTGTGGCTGGAATTAGCCTCAGCAACATCAGAGTACGAGGTAGTAGTCATCTTCGCGACACAGCATCTCTGGTCAGAATATCAGTAGCCAAAGAGCATCCGAGTAATAGCTATCCGGATTCACTGGGCCAGTCGTGTAGGGCGAACAAGACCTGTGGTGGACTACCCTCAATAGCTGCTCACATTCCATTGCAACCTTGCTAGGGACAAAGATTCCGTTGCCATGAGCAGATAGTGGGACTAGACAGACCCATCACTAAAGGCAGCCGGGTCTAGCCTCCCAACTCTAGCCCCCATTCCTGTCTAATCCGCTCAAGCCATGCCTTGACACTGAGGACCTCCCCGCCCACGCGGACATTGCCTTCGCCGATCCTCGCTTGGGCGATGGGATCATAGGGCGGAACATGCAGCAACTCGTGATCATGGCTGCAGATCTCCACTGCGAGCGTCCCCGCCCGCAATTCGTCCGCGCAGGCTTTGTCGTAATGAACACCTGGGCAAGTTTTGCACACATAGAGGTCATCCGCATAGGTCCAGTGGGCCCCACAGCCCCCCTCGCAAAAGATATCCATAGGCCCCCGGGGTTTCCGGGGGTTCGAGTAGTCGGGATTCGGGCTGACCAGGGACCAAGCTGCGACAGTGGCATCCCACATGCCAACTGCTCGAAGGTGGCCGGCAAGACGTATATAGCCTTCCCAATCATTGAGTGGATCGTTGTCAGAGAGAAGAACGAGATCGGCCTCGAGGCATGGACTAGTGTATCCTTGTAGAACCAGACCTGCCGTAATTTGCTCACAGACGTATAGCCAGTCGACCACCGTCGCTTGATAATCTCCACATCATCGAAAAGTGCCACCAGATAAGGCCCTATAGACATCTTGTCCTGTGGGTGCACTGATGAAAGGTCGATCTGCTCCAGGTGATAGGGAAAAGGTTCAACTGCATAATCCAGCAGGAAGTCTATTTCGGGCTTGTGGGGCGAACAGATAGCCTCCAAGCAAGCCGAGGATTTTGCAGTGCGCACTCTCAACATCAACACGGACCTTGAGAGAGCTTCTGCTTAGCTTTGCCACAAAAAAGTCTTCAAACCCAAATCTCTGGAAGAGGCTAGCATCGCAGACGGACTCCAAGATTCGGCGCACAATTCGCACCTCGCTTTCGTTGACTGCCTCAACCTCATCCCAAACCTTGGATTCCATGCCCGTGCCATCTTTTACTGGTGCATCCAGGAAGTGTCTCACTGAGTCCGACACCAACAGTACACGGGACTTGAGGTCGAACTCCTTGCTCGCGCCATTCAGTTTGCCTTCAACCCGAAGAAGAGACGAATACTGGTCAATAATCACATTCGATAGTGGCCTCAGCGATTGTTCACGGCCCTTGAGAGATAAAACGCTTTCAAGCTCCCCGAGAGTAAGTGGCCTCGCAGCGAACATGACTCAGGTGAGAAGTTCATTAAGTTCGGCGATATCCTCCTTGCCAAGGGTTGCATTCAGCCGGTCAATCTTCCTTCCTATAATGTCCTGGCGATTCTGTCCCGAGCGAGCCAAAATGTCTCGAATCTCGCCGGGACGTTGTTTAGTGCTGATTTCGTCCAATAACAAGCCAGTGCTGACGAAGTCTCCTTGAATCTCTCGCATCAAGGTTTCCAAGGTCTCGCGGCGTATTGAGACGACTTGTTCCGACGAACCACCGAAAATATCCAGCCGGTCCACCCGACTTTCGATGAATTTCTTCATGTCTTGGGCGCTCTTGGTTTTCAAACCAATGACTGATATATGACCCCAAGATGGCTTCTGATCCAACTCATGGTCTCATCCTGACCCATCAGGAGGATATGGAGCTGGAACTTGCCCCAGTTTGTGGAAGTAGTGTGCAACTCGACCAGAAGGGCAAGCAATTGCCCCACCTCCCCCTTATCTAATTGTTCAAGCCCATCTAACAACATGAAGAAGCACGAGTCGGTCGCGTATGACTTCACAAACAAACGGTTCCAGAGGATCTCCAGGTCACTGGTGCTTGTCATGTCGACAGAGCTCAAGTCTTTGCGGTATGCGGGGTCTGCGTTTGCGATTTGCCACGAAATGATGTTCAGAGCCCGGATCAGCGACTGCGTCTCTGTGTAATGACCGAAGAAATGATAGGCAATCGAGCTCGGTCTCAATCCATCGTCGTCATTCAAGTGAATTGCCCGAAGGTGCTTGATGATGTGCGCTACTAAGAAGGACTTCCCACATCCTTCACTCCCATCGATGCCGAGTATGGAACACGATTCTTGGTCAACCCTTGCCCAAAACGTGTAAAACGGATCGTTCAAAAGCCAGGCACCGGTCCCTACAAGTCTCTCATTTGATATACTTCTCAACGTCGCCTAGTGAGCACGCCACCCTTCACTTGGCTTGCCGAGAGCGATGTCGAGATCATGCAATGTCCTGCTCTCCACAGTAAAGACATTTTTCATTCGCTCGGAATCTAGAAGTTGTTCCACAGCAGTGCTAATGATCTTGGTCTCCTCTGCATTTTCAAAAATGCGCCGCTCACTTGCCTTCTGCGATTCAAAGCCCAGGGTCGCGCGCATCTGGGATTCGCGTTCCCCAAGGGTAGCTAGCCGAGCCAACTGCGCGCTAACCCCTTCATCGCCACTGAACGCAAACACCTTGAGGGCGATGAGGACTTTATGGCCCTGCAGTAACTTGATTGACAGAGCGCAAATGTCCACAAAACAGAGCAGCTGCTCGTTGAGGATCTTTCGCAGGGCGACATCCACCGCGTCGCTCGGTAGGCGCATGTATATCTGCATGCGGTCCAACACGTCACAGACCCTCCGGAACAGCTCAGCCAGGCTGCTGAAGATGCGCTTGAACTTTGCCCCGGTGTCGATCAGGTAGGCGATAGCATTGAAACAGAGGCTACTGGGCGCGAACATCTGTGCCAGAAAGAAAAAAGGGAGAGCATCTCAGCCCACTATTCGAACTAATCGGCACGAGGGTGACTGAGACGTACCATGCTCGCGCCCTGCGCAACAATGCCCCCAAGAACCTTCACAAATGCCAGCGTCTTGTCGATCACAGCCTTCCCCTCTTTGTATTTAGCGTTCCTTTCGAGATCCTCCGCTTCCCGGACACGGATCCACTCGAGGACTTCCTCGATGGTGTAGTTGGGCGCGGTCGTAAGATCGACCTTGGTGGTCTGCGCGAACGAGCGGCACACGCGCTCCCACGCCTCTTGGAGGTTGTGCTCGTCGTTGGGTTCGGAGGTTGCGGTCATTGTTGCTCGCGAAGTTCTGGGGCCGGGAAGACTCGACGGTCGGTGTTGGGCTCGAAGCTGATCGCGCGGGTGGAGGAAGGCGCAATGAGAACGATCATGTCGAGGGAGAAAGTCTGATGGTGGATTCTCTCATCCTCCGGGGTTGTTTGTCTGTTGCGCGCCATTCCCCTCCAATCTTTCTCTCAGCTGAAAACGACGCGCGTTCATGCCCGGCGCGTCATCCTAAGTAAGCGCTTCATTTGAGGGGATGAGCGTACTACTGCATGTGCAATCGAGTTGACGATGTTCATTTGACGCCACAGAACGGACAAAGAAGTAAGCATTAGCCAAGAAGGAAATGGGTAGCGACGGGAGGGAATTCCGATTGAGCAAGACTCGGTGCGGAGAGACTCAGCAAGGGGCTGAGAATCTAGGTATCGATCAACTCATCGAGAAGAGGAGGAGAATCTCAATGGGATGACGGTGATATTGACTGAGAGAGAAACCGAGTCCCGCGCCTGCCACCATTTCCAAAAATGGCAGGTGCCGGCCACCGGTCGCCTTCACCGCCTGTGCCTGACCACGGCAGTATAGATGCAGCCTCAGGCACTAACATACTCGGTTTTGCATGCCCATGAATAGATCGTCTTTTATTGAATGCTTTTCGTACAATGTATACTCTGTAGTAATAATTGAGGCTCATATCTATGGGTGAGCATATAAGACAAAACTTCGGTGGTACAGGTGTGCTGCGATCCGGACTACTCAACGCGGATACATATATCGGGACTGAGACGTATGAGTTTGGGCCGCTTTGGCAGGTTGAGGAAAGCAATGCAGCAAGGCTCTTATTCAATCTCCGAAGCTGTTGAATTGCTTTTTGTTAAACAAATGTATCAGCTTTTTTTTTTCCCCAAAAAAGCATATATGACTGAGACCTTCAACCTGAATCACTGCTAGGGAATGCCTGGCATTCACCCTCCACAAGGGCCTTTCCCGCTTCACTATCTAGCAAATCCAGGTCGTGTAAGAACACGTTGAATCAGCTTTTCTAGTTGTACGAAGAATCTCGAAATAGAGCTAGAAGCCCACTGCATCAGCAAATAATAAGCAGATCAGGGAATTGAGAGTGGTGACGATGGCGACTCTCCTTCTGTGAAGCAGAAGACTAACACTGGCGGCTCCTCTATACACAGAATCAACCATCAAGCCCGGAAAAGGATTCCAGGGTGAAAGTCAGGGCCAATAAGCAGGAGCGGGAAATACATTAGCCTATGGGTGGCTCTGAAGCTATCATCGCCTGCGAGAGCAACGGCAACTGAATTGCCGTACGTACTCCATAAAATTCTGGAGGAATTTGAGTAAAGGTCAAAGATGGACTGCACCTTCGTCACCCAAGGACCCAAAGCAATGAACTGACATCATCCGCAACAACATCAATTGCACCTGGCCGTGCTGACAACCACGCTTACCGCAGTGGTCAGTGCTCAATGGTCAGAACTAGTCGGCAGTCGGCACGCATGGACGCCATTCCGTCATTGGAGATAACCAAAAACTTATGCCCCTTTGTGTAGTTATGTCGTTAAGCGCGGGAGATTCTACTGTTGATCCTTCGCCAATTACCCCTTCTAAGCGAGCCCGCAGCTCGGAAATATTCGCCGGAAACTCCACTTCTTGCAGGGTGGATGAGATTGGAGTTTGGACTGTTGGGGAAGGCCCGCTGGAAGGTCTCAGGTTGGTGTGGGGCGGGGAGGAGGGGAGTTGCGATCTCCTCCGACCAGCAATGAGGTGAGACATGTTACCTTTGCAGGTTTGTTAGAATCAGTCTTGGTGACATTTGGTGGGAATGATGTTTCCAGACTGATACATACATACTATGTAGTGTCAATTTGCTATGAGTACTCCGTAGGTTAAGGGTAATCTCGTAATATCGGCTGAGGTAACCCGAAGGACAGGCGGACGATCGCAGCAGGTTGACCTCATCTGGTCACAATTTCGACGCGGGGTGGGGGGAATATGTCTAGCTTGGAGGCAAGTCCAATTTTGGGGATAGTCGGGAGACTTTACAGTCTCCGTAGTTGGCTATCAAGTTAGTTCCCAGGTTCTGCAGCAAGCCTACCAGCATCCGGAGTTCCCCCATGTTCGGCCACGGATCAGCTCTCAGATATAATTGCTGAAGTGGTGAGCTGTGCACTTGATGAGAATCTCTGTAGCACCTCGACAATCCAAGATCCCCAGATGACTCAATCAGAGCTGTGTGCAGCAGAGAACGGCGACCGACCCAGACAAATGTGTTAAGCCTGTCCCTCCACCAAAACATCGAAAGGAAACACCCCACCTCCGAGGTCGGGGTCACTTGGATTCCACCCCCAAGTCAACTGTGAATGATCCCCGCCAACAGCAACCCGTCAACCGGGGATAAAGTACGGTCGGTACTAGGTAGAATCCCCCCCATCGATTGATCTAATTGTGATGCATGTGCGGCCACCCTGCAGCGGCCACTGCGAAAGACCTTGTTTTGTGGCCAGCAACAATCCCCCGTCCAGCCCTGGAATTTGGATTTTGATGCGAGTAGAACCTTGGTAGCCGGTCTGCACTACAGGCTACTCTTGGGGGGGGGGGGGGGGGAATCAAAAACTAGGTACCCTCCTCGAGCATAAGTACGGATCATAAACCCCGTGCGATGAATCAGTCCAAAAGTCAGATTCAAAGCTGTGCTTCTGCCATGGAAACTCTGTGATACATAGAACCCCCGGGGATTCCCCCCCTTCCCCTTTGCAAAGCTAATCTCGATCTGATGTGAGTAAGACGAGGCATCCAGGGTATTTGGGAGGGTGTGACGGAGATCCGCGTATCACAGGCACGGAAAGGATGATTCATCACCCTTCAAGCCACCAAGTCCGATCGCGGAAACTGCCAAGGCCCACTGCACCACACGGCCAGGCTGGAAAACTGCATCTTTCCCCCACCCGGATATCGAATCCGTGATTTACAGGTCTCTTATTGAAGGGGGGGGTGGTGTGGGAGACGACACCGCCAAAGACGCCTCCACTAGCTAGTCTCGCCTAAAATACGAATCGTGCATGTCTTGCTCTAGTAGAAGTGAGAAAGAAGTAGGCGACAGACCGGCGGGGTAAGAGGACGGAGAGCGTAGGCGCAAAGGCGCAAAGGCAACACGAAAGGGAAAAAGAAAAAAGAAAAAAAAATTGCTCAGATGCCCCTGAATGCGTTCGACTTTCGAGAACTATGGAAAGAAGTGGAACCCATCGACTCGAGGTCCAGGAAGATAGTCCCGAAAGCCAGAGGGTTAATTTACTTTTCCACTGCTACCCTACGTCACCGGAGGTGCTGGGAGGGAGCTCTGAGGTGTTTTTCCGGTAGCGAGCATTCTGGGTTGGTTTCTGTCGGCTTTACTCGGCTCAACCCGAGGGGAAGGAGGTTCTACTAGGTAGTCAAAGAGTGAAGGAGGGTCTCACTCACAAGTTCACAACCGTCTTTCTCCCTTCATAGTACAGAGTACTGCAGAAACAGTAAACAAAAACCTGGAATTGAGAACCATCTTAATTCCTGGTAATCCGGTTTAGATGGGTGAGCTGAGCTTGGTCAGACGTACAGGTCCAAAATCACAAACAAAGGAAAAACCAAGTCGACTGGGTGGAAAATGCACCGACCGAGGGTCCAGGCCCTGGGAGCCCCAAGCGGCCGGCAAAGTTACTTACTTGCCTTGCCTTGAGTAGCCAACAACTAGCCTAGGGGAGGGAAAGTGAGGTGGAGACAGTGGAATGCAGTGGACTCGAGTGGCCTCCAGTCGCCTGTCTATTTAAACCTGTTTGGTGGTTGGCTGCAAGGGAGCCCTAACCCACTACGTCACCATCTTTCACAGTCCCTCTCAGCCCAGAACTGGAAGGTAAAGGAATGAAGGGCTTGGCTGCTGCTGCTACTAACTTACTACTGCTGCTGATACTGCTGCTACTGCTGCCGCTGAGCAAAGTACGGAAATAATCACTTGATGAGTTCCCGTTTGCACTCAGCCTATTCTACAAAAGTAGACCATAGTGCCCACCTTGGCTGTTTGGTGGGTTTTTCTTATCTACCTGACTCTGACTTCCAACCGGTTTACCCCATAATTTCCCACCCTTCGCCTACACATCTACATCTACTACACGATCGATCTCCCCCTCCCGATCGGCCGTGATGGAAATATCTCGAGTCCTGAATTACATTGACGAAGCGCCCAAATGGGTGGGCATGGGGGGTAGCACGGACGAAATCAGACAACTACCAAGACAACAACCAGAACCCCAGCCATCGCCTGAACGACAAAGCCAATCGTCCGAAGAACCCTCCCCGCTCCCCTTTGCCCTTCCCTTCCCCCGATCGACTATCACCACCCCAACCCCAACCTCAACCTCAACCACCACCACAACCACCACCACCCCGAACCCTCCCTCACATACCATAATCCGCAACAAGAAACCCATCCCGCGACAGGCGGGACGCGGATACGCCCCGAAGAGCCGAGCCGCGCTGGCGTGCAACTCGTGTCGACAGGGGAAATTCAAATGCACCGGCGAGAAGAACCAATGCCAGCGGTGTGCCATGTTGGGCAAGCAATGCTGGTACCCGGCCCATAAGCGCGAGCGGATTCAGAGGTAGGGATGATCCCCTTCCCTCTCTGATGAGGATTCGGATATAGTTATCACATGGATATCGCGGTTAATATTCGGGGTTGGCATTTGACAGGGAGATGGACCAACTGGTCACGGAGGCGAATGAGTATCGATTGATGCTGGAGCTGCTGCTGTCCCGGGTCAATAAAGAAGATGCGGAGGATATCTCGGCCCTGCTGTTCAAGGTAGCTACTGGTCACTTGTTTTAATTTCCCTTGACTTGCTGGCCTGGACTAATATTGGGACTATGGTTGAAGTACGAAAAGTAAGGGTGACGGGGCGTCAAGTTGACTTGACCTTTGCATCCCTCGAAAAACAATTACTCGACGACTGGATCGGCGAATCTCCCGACAGCTCTGGAGAAAACATGGGGCGGAAATCCATGCCAACACCCTGGAGGAGCTCAGCCTGTCCACAAAACAGGACGACGGCATTTGACTCGCTCCGATTGCCAGCGCACGACCCTCACGCAATTGCTCTTTCGTCGCACGGCAGGTTTTCGTGGCGCAGCCAGGGAGGAAGATCCTGGCATGACAGATTCTAGACCGACTCAGCGGCGATTTTCTTTCCTTTTTTTGTTTCACCTTTGTATTCCAGATAGAGATACCCTTCCGATAAGGAACACCCCAATCAGACCTGAACAAGTACAGTAGAGTACAGGACAGCAGAGAGTCAGCCGGAAAAGATAGTCTTTCCGATAACATTGATTCAACATTCCACCGGAGACAACCTAAAAGAAGCTTATTAGCCCCCCCTCCGATCCCCACTTGCTGCAGAAATCCTGATTTCAGATCCCCTAGCAGATGGTGCCCCACGCTCGTCAGCCGTAGCTTTTGCTGGACAGTAGATAAGCTCATTGCCAAGAGGACGGTTCGATGATCCGGGCTATCTTAAGCGACGGCCGTGGGGAAGTTCTGGGGCTGTGGTAACCGGCACGACGAGATAGCTGTATTGCCACAAAGTCATGGCAAGGACTGCACTACACTACACATAACTTTCCCCTTCATGGATTGAACTTTGAGACTTTACTGCAACAGCTTCAAACAGCATCATTGTAATTCCAAATGTATTCCCATCCTACCTGGAGCATCTGACCCTGACTTCAACCACGCTCATCCCCTCCCGATAACCGTTCAGCATACCCTAGATTCTACAAAGTGTAAATAAAATCCGGCCTCTTATCCCCCAACACCTCCACCCCCTCGGTCCCCAACCCCTCCAACCGATGATCGCGCTCCCCGCGCAGCCGCCGTCGATTCTCTTTCCTCAGCAGAAGATACTGCGTCACCGACCCGCCAAACAGGAACATCACCAGATACCCCAGCACGACGCCATGTCCCGGATAGAACCGCGGGGCGTCCTCGATGCGGTAGATATTCGACGAGACGATGCCATTTAGATTGCCCCAGCCGATCATCAGCCCGAGCGTGATACCGCGTTTGTAGACTCCTAGTGTTTATCGTTCCAGTTAGCCGACACGGTATGGCAGAGGGTGATGGGGGGCTGCTGGCTGCCATGGAGTGGCATTAATAGCGATGGAACTCACCCTCCACATTATTGCTGACCCAGGAGATCGTATTGGCGATGCAGGGGTAAATGCCCATGGCGCCGAGGAAGACACCCGCGTACTGCACCCCGGGGGTTTTCGAGCCCAGCAGCATACAGAATCCGGCGATGCCGATCAGCGACACGCAGATGTTGCACAGGCCGCGTTGGCGGGTGCGGTCGGCGAGGTAGCCGATGCTCACGGTCAGGATGGCGGCGCAGGCGTACGGAGGGACGCTGAGGAGCTGGGCGCGGGTGGAGGAGTAGCCTTTCTTTGGTCAGTTCCCAACAGCTGAAGCTGAAGCCAGTGAGTAGGTGAAGAAGGATGAAATACCCTACATCCCAGCGTTAGCACCACCATAGCCCGCTGCAGGAGGGTAAGCTCACCAGTTGATTAATGATAGTCGGTGTGAACAGCGAAAACGCATACAACGCCCCATCGGCCCCCATGTAGATCACACACCCCAACCACGTCTTCGAATCCTTCAGACTGGCCCAGATGTACGCCGTCTTGAACTCGTGCTCGCCCAACCCACTCGCCTGCTTATCCGCGGCCAACCGCCGCAATACCCGCTTGCGCTCGTCCGCGCTCAGGAACGCCGCGCGGTCCGGGAAGTCGTAGACGAGCCAGTACGAGAGCACCCCGATGACGACGGTCGCCAGCCCCTCCAGGATAAAGATCCACGCCCACCCTTGCTTGCCGCCCACGCCGTCCATCTTGGCGATCGCGGCCGCCAGCAGTCCGCCGAAGGAGCCGGCCAGCGCCGCGGCGGAGAAGAAGATCGCCATGCGGATGCCGAACTCGGAGCGCTTGTACCAGCATGACAGGTAGTAGCTGATGCCCGGGAAGAGGCCCGCCTCCGCGAGGCCCAGGAACCATCGCGCCGTGATCAGCCCGCCGTAGTTGTGCACCAGGCCCATGGTTGTCATGCAGATGCCCTGTCGGTCGGAGCATACGTTAGTCACTGGTTGGTTGTGCTCCCATCCCTACCTCGGAAGGGTCGTTGATGTCATGGAATGCCACGGGAGACGTACCCAAAGCACGATAATCGTCGGAATGAACAGGCTCGGCCGCGTCCGTTTCAGGAGGACATTGGTCAGGGGCTCGAAGACGGAGTACGAGACGAAGAACACGGTCAGCGAGGCGTTGTACTGCGCATTGCTCATGTTCAGCGCCTGCTGCAGTCCGTCGAGCTTGGCGTTGCCGATGTTGGTGCGGTCGAGGAACGAGGCCAGGTAGAGTAACGAGAGCCAGGGAATGAGGCGCAGGTCGAGCTTGCGGAGTAGACGGCGGTCCTGCAGGTGTGGAGGGTCAATTGCACGTTCCCAACTGCAAGCACGATACATACGATATTGGCTTTCTCTGCCTCGCTCAGACCAGCGTCCGGATCGTCGATCTCGTGCAGGTGTTCAGCGGTGGGTTTGGTGATCTCCGGGTCGTGGAACCCGGGGGTTTGCTCGTCGGGAGCTGGAGGTTGGGCGCCCATTTCTTTGGTGTCCATTGGATTGAGACGGGGGGTTGTAGAGGGAGTGAGGTGGTTTGCGACAAGGATGCGAAAGAGGAAGAGCAGGGAAAGAGCCAGAAAGCCAGCTGGAGGAAATCTTGCGCGGAGTCAAGCTACCCCGTACGGTTGGGAAGCGATCATCTCGGGGTGGTTAATGCCGTGCGGGGGCTGAGTAATCCTTGTCAATGATCTACTGGTCCCTTGCGTCTTCTGCTTTACTCATATCATGGGTCGGGGAGAATCATTGCTGCTTTCATTCACTGCCGCCCAATTAACTTTTCTGCAGCTCAGTTTTCAGCCTCGCCACGGCAGTGATTGGAATGCAACCCAGAAATGCTTCTTCTGCTGCTTCTACTGTTTCTTTTCTTGTTCCTCGCCTCAACCATGGATACACCAGCATTCCTCCTCTGCCCCTCCGGCGAACACGAGGTTGTCGGCGACTTCCCCGCATTTTGAAAGCCGAACGGATCAGCAGTTGCCGGTGCCAAGAGATAAGCATCTTGGCGAGATCCCCCGCATTTCATCACCATGAAGCCATTTCTCAGCTGGCCAGTGACTCTAATAATCAGTTTAGCCTAATCAAAGTCTGTGGGGGCAGAGGAGAAGGTTTTGATTCCAACGTGCTGAGATTGGGACGGCCGCTGCAGGTACCACAGCACGCAAGGGGCGTAGGTCGTGCCAGGTACCAGGGGTTATTTGCACCCTGTAAAGCTTGGTGAATCCCAGGTAGAGGTCTGCTGAGTCTTCACTTACTAGGTTAGTAGGTAGACCTTGATTGCTTAACTTCACACCGACTTTTGGTGGGGTTGACAGTTTGCTGCCTGAGGCACCAAGGCTTGAAGGGTCAAGCTTCTTAGGGCACGTGACTCGGCCACTATTGCTGGTGGCCGGGTGCCAATTTAATATAGCTGCTGCTTAACCTACGGCACGTCACTCGTGCCAGTTGACATCCGAAACTGGCGCGAGTCAACCAAGACATCACTCTCGGTCTAGCGAGCACATCTCTTCACGCAGACAACAATCCCAGCGCCTACAAAACAAATCTCACTCATAACCATCCATAAATTGCTTCATGAACCCATTAAATCTTAAATCTTCAACATAGATCAATCGCATCAAACTCAAAAAGAAGCGTCACTGACACCGCACCAATAAATCCCCATTCTTCCCCACCTCCACCTTAACATCAACCATCATTACCAAACAGAAGGAATTTTAACGCGCCTCCTCATCCGCCACCCCCTTTGTCTCCCAATCCTGATGCGACGGCGACTGACCCTCCCCCTTTCCCTGCAACTTAGCCGCAACCCCCCCATCCAACCTCGTGTCCACCTCCCGGGAGAACAGCGACGCGATGATCGACAAACCACCGAACGCAATGCTCACGCAGAAGACCGTGCGGAACGACATCGCGTACGCCGTCTTCTCCGCGTCCGCGACCGCGGCGAGGATCTTGGTCGTCATGCCGGGCACGGCCTCCAGGGCGGCGCTGGTGCCGGCGGCGACGGCCTCGAGAAGGTCGGTGAGGGAGGACGAGGGGAGGCCGGCCTTGGTGGCGGCGTGCGTGACGGTCGTGGGTAGGTTGGCGGTGATCCGGTTCTGGAGGATGGCGACGTAGATGGCCGCTTTGGTGCGTTAGTTTTGGGTTTAGACTTGGGGGGTGGTGGTGGTGGGGGGGTACTGGGAATGAGGGCATGGGCAAGGGAACACTCACTGGCGATAGTGCCGAAGATCTGCTTGGCGGAGCCGAGGAAGCCGCTGGCTAGACCAATGTCCTCCGGTTTGCAGTATAGGGGACACATGATCAGGGTGATCAGCTCGAGGTAGCCGACTGCGAAGCCGCCGATTGCGGTGAACTGGTGGTTGCGTTAGCGGGGCTGCATTGTGTGGTGGAGGTGGGTGTGTGAGATGAGGGGAAAGGTATGGAGGCGAATGAGGTACGTACAGCAATACCGTAGGCCTGGTGGTGCTGGTTGATTGCCGCCAGGGCACCGGAGAACGCAGTGATGATCACGGTGGACGCGATGAGCTGGTACTTGGTGAAGCCGAGGGGCTTCATGAGAATCCCGGCGGCGATTTCACCGACGATGACGCCGACTCCGGTGGTGATCTGCAGCGCTCGTTAGCGATCGCACTAGCTAAGGTACAAACACACCGAAACTTACGGAAAGCCAGCCGGCTTTGATGGTGTTGGTGGTGAAGAGGTAGAGGACGGCCTCGGGCCACAAAAGACTGTCGCTTCGGTTAGGGCTGAAGGCACGACGGCATTGACGGACCTGATGCTCGCGCGCTTACCTCATGGAGAAGTAGACCATGTTGCCGACCAGGGCAGAACACACCGTCGCCGCGTAGCCGGGGTTGCGCAGCAGCGACATGGGGAGCAGGGGCTGCTCCAGGGGTGCGTAGATTTCTGCGGTCGTATTAGTACCTGCGTGCGTGCTTGGGTGGCTGCACATGCAAAGGACATACCGTAGAGAACAAAGACGATGATCGACACGAAGCCGACGACCAGCACGGCAACGACGTGGGCAGAGGACCACGCATACGAGGTACCACCCCAGGCTATCTTCTCGTCAGCTGGGTCAAAGGCAATGGACCAGACAGCACATACAGAGTCCCAACAGCACCAGAACAACACCGGCGGCGTAGAGCACGAACCCGATCCAGTCGAACTTCTTCAGACCGTCGAGGCGGCTCTGCCCGCCGCGCTTCTGATCCCAACCAGGGGGGAAGTAGAAGAGCACCAGCAGGATGATCGACAGGCCACAGGTGATCATGTTCAGGTAATACGTCCAGCGCCACGAGGCGGCGGTATGAGCGACGAAGTCGCTGGCAATGATGGATCCGAAGGCGGAAAAGGGGAGGGTGGTGATGAAGATGCTGGCGTTGACCGCAGGACGAGCCCGGTTGGGTACCAGCTCAGCAATCACAAAGGTGAAGGTCAACTGCACTGCAGCAGCCAGACCGCACAGCACACTTCCGCCGATCACGGTCGGGACATTCTTTGCGGTCGCGCATACAATCGCCCCAACAAGTCCCAGCAGCTGGCCGCCGATAAGGATGTACCGACGACCGAAGATATCGCCCAGACGGCCGACCAGCAGCAATCCCACCTAAACACACGATCATCAGTATGAAGGATGGTACCCAGGCAGAAAGAGGATCGACGTACTCCGGAGATTAACGTAAAGACCGTTGAGATCATGCTATAGTTGGGGTCCGGCCCTGTGCGCGCAAGGAGAGACGATCAGCGGATGCCACTCAGATCGGCCCCGTTCAGGGGGCGATGGGGACTTACCGAGATCTTGGTTGATCGCAGTCAAGCTGTTGACCTATCTGCGAGTCAGCAAGCCAGAATTGAACCAACTACGCAGAGAAACGCACTGGCAAGACATATCCCAGGTACAGACTGATGGCCATCAAACAAACGGCAACCACCGAGCCGATGAAGTTGGGGCTGCGGTAGTATCCCGTCGGCAGCTGGTCCAGGTCGACACTCTTGGACTGGATGGAGCCCTCGACGGGCTGGGGAGTCTTCTCGTCCGCCATGGTGCACCTCAAGGTCAAAGGCTGGGGTCCTTTAACAGAGGAGAAGTCGCAGGCACAGAGGTGTGAAGTGGGTAAAACGGAAGAGAGGTTCCTGAGCTGCAGGAAATGCAGATAGTTAAAGTAGACCCAGTATGGCCATATGCAGGGCAGAGGCGACGGCCACGAGGCGAAAAGGCGCTAGAAAGTCATCAAACCGGACTGGAGTGTCAAACCATCTCATCTCCGTAGTCTAGATTACCACTACGACTGGGACTATGAGAGACTACTGGCACGCGAAACTGGTAGGCACGGCCAACGAGCCTTGTACGGCATACCAAGAGTCAACATGCAATGCCTAGTCTGGGCTGTGAGTAGAAGATACGCACCTGGGTGGTGTGTGGGTGGGGAATCAGGATAAGAGAGGGGGCAATAGTCATGACAAGAGAGGGGAAGCAGACGGCCGCTTAGGGTTCGTTCATCTTGACAACAAGTCGGCGACGGTCCTTGCGCGATATTGGGAAGGGCCCGCAGTAGTTCAGGTGGAGCCGGAGTCGGCGAATGACTTAACCCAACATCAGCCAATCCAGTCGCCCCACGATCGATCTAGAGTGCTCTGTTTTGGATTTGTTGCATGCCATGGAGGGGAAATGAGCAAATCAAAAATTCAGCAAGAAAAAGACAGAAGAAGTGAATTTCATCAACTGTTCTGCAGCTCGGAACGGCAATTTACAGAGATTCCACGTGTGGCTTGCTCGTTTGCAGAACCGACGGAGGCGAGGAACTGACTAGTAGGCAAGTACCGACTCGAGGTTTTCCCACACCATTGAATGAATTCTTTTGTCATCGTGACTGGGCCGAAGGAAGGGCTGCCTTCGCCGAGATTGCGGTATAGTCCCGGAGAATAAGGGTAGTGGCAAAAGACCCTCCTTGTAATTCCGTCCACCCCTGGGCATAATAATTAAGATAGAAAGGCCAAGAAGGACGTCCTTTTACTGCCTTGTTGCTACTACTACTGCGTGCTTCATGTAGGCCCTTAGTTTCGATCTTTTTGCGTCTGCTTCTGCTCGTTTCTTGCCCAGCACGGCCGGTTGTCATGGACGATTTGATCTTCAGGGAGCAGTCTTCGTCCGATTCATCGGTCAACCTCAATGCCTCAGCAGTCCCGTCGATCATCGTCTGCAACACGGTGCTCATCGTGATTGCGAGCATTGGGGTGCTGGTGCGTGTATTCGTGCGGACCCAATATCTTTCCGGACTTGGGGCAGATGACTATCTGTGTATAGTGAGCTGGGTAGGTCTCCCGTCTATGATACGAGGGATCGGTGCTCTAGACTAATCCAGCGGTTCGTTATCTAGGTGTTTACACTTGCGCTATGCATCCTGTGTATATTGAGTGCGTTATTCTCTATTCTGCCTCCACACCATCTAGAAGAGGGTACTGATACTCGGAATGTAGTGACCAACTATGGCTTTGGAAAACACATCGAGACAATCCACGACAATGAAACCCTGGAGATGTTCCTCAAGGTCTGCAGATACTGGTCCCTGATACATGCGTAGCATGCACTAACGTGATCATCGAATTCCAGCTGGACTTCGCCACCATGATCGCCTACCTCATCGCCTTGGGCACCGTCAAATGCTCCTTCTGTATCCTGTACCTCCAGATCTTTCCGGGCAAAACCTTCCGCATTATCTGCTGGTGCCTGACAGCCCTGCTCGTGGCCGAAACAACCGAAGAGTGTCTGGTGGTGGTGTTCCAATGCACGCCCATCCATAAAGCCTGGGATTCGCAGGGCGTGGTCAAGGGGGAATGTCTCTCTCTGACGGCATTCTACTACATCTCGTTTGGAATCCGTCTGGCGACCGACCTGGCTATTTTCGCCCTCCCGATTCCCAAACTGGTGCGGCTGAATATGACCCGCGGTAAACGCGCGGGGTTGGTGTTCATGTTTGGGCTGGGAGTTCTGTACGAGACCCCTGTTCCCCGCCGCGCTCTCAAAGAAGCCTGCTAATCAAAGCTGCAGGGTCTCCGTGACGAGTATCATCCGGGCGACTTATATCAGTAATTTCTCGCTGGACCACACGTGTAAGTGTGCCCCTCCCCCTGGGCCATCCACTTTTGATTGACACGCATCTAATGTACGAGGGTAGGGACGCTGGTGAACCCACTCAACTGGTCCAGTGTGGAGGTGGCGGTGGCCATCTTCATCGCGTGCATTCCTAGTTTCAAGAGTCTCATCTCCTTCCGATTCCCCGCCCTGCAGCGTCTGCTCGGTCTCTCCAGCAAGGGCGACTCGACGGGTCGATCGCGCATGTACGGCACCTCGGGCCGCCGCACCACGCATGGACGGTCGCTGGCGCATCAGAGCATCAAGCTGGATACAGTGACGGGCCAGAGTCGGGCAGACATCGAGGCCAGCTTGAATGGGTCGGAAGAGCGCATCTTCCCGGTGCACGCGGGCATCCAGATCACGACGCATGTCAGCGTCAACCAGAGTGACTGAGCCTCACTCCCCTACTTACCCACCTACACTAAAACATAATTTTCTTTTGTTCCCACCGTGTCTATATGAGAACTTTGCTCTTACGACCATAATGCCACGCCTGTCTTGCTGCTATGCCACGGAAGAGCGGCAGATCCTTTACCCAACTGGGCTCTGGATCGGAAACATACGAGTAGCATCGGAAGGGGGTTGAAGGCCGTCCGGGCTCTTTACCTGTTCTGATTGTCTCCATGCTCCAATCTAATTAGCTTCCTTGGTTGGTGGGTTTGGTGCATCGTAGGGTTGAGTAGAGTGGGTGGATGGGTAAGCTAATCTAAGCTTATGCCAAGAGACGGCTGTATTTGGGACAAGAAGGAATGGCCCGTCTTTTGTTCAGATTCAGTCTCTAATAGGTGGAAAGGATGAAAATATGAGCTAAGATATTTGATCCTGCCGACCAAGCCCCTGATGTGGCCGGGTGTCTTACTAGGACGCGCAAGCCATCGTTGGACGGCCGGGGGTGGCCAGCACACTGTCCGGTCTCTCTGCGTGTTGATAACCTCGCATGAGGATGTCCGACATGATTGGGCGTTCCAACCGTACTGCATATTCTTGCATTCTTGGGTTTTCTTGTCGCCTGCTTCATCAATGACCAGAAAAAAAAAATCCATCCGACACTAAGACTGCAGTGCAGCGCTAGTTCCAGGCGGAGGAAATAATGTCGGCGACTATAAAATGTGTGGCCATGGATAGGGTCGACGGCCCGCCGGGTGGAAATTAGCCCAAGGGCGGCGGCTCCACTCGCTCCATCCCACCAACCCATCAGATTCTTTTTCACCCGCTCCATAATTGCAGGAGGGGACCATCGATGGTTTGATGCAAGTTGGGAGTCTGTCCCTTCAGCTCTTTTGTTTTGCGGATGAAGCACTTCTTACCTCGGATACCCTCCGCGTTGGTGATTTACCGGCACACGCCAAGTTTATTGGTTCTGCTGCGATCCATACTGTAATTTCTTTGCTGTATGTTTCAGACACCTAGCACGTTATTGTCCTGGGCTGGCTTGGCCAGGGTTACATTCGTGACTGGCGACACACAACATTGCAATCTGGCGGCTGTCGTTCGGTGTTTTTCTCTAGCCCGACCGGCCAGGGTTTTATCCTCAGATACGCCGCGCTATCACTATAGCCTGTACACCCCTGTCTAGAAAGACAATAAGATGCTTATTGCCTATAGACTAAGAAAAAGACTCATTTATTTGGACTGACTATCCCAACTGTCGGAATTGTGTGAAGAATCTACCCCGAGTCCTTAAGCCCAGCCGAGAAATCTTATCTTGCGCCACTAAAGGAGGAATGACACCCGGAACCCTAAACGCCTAAAGTCAACAACGCAACTTCGACGACCACTCTTCGGCGGGTTAGACGAAAGACGGAAAAGAATTAGAAAATTTTTGAGTATGTCCACAGTGGCACTACCACATCGGACCCGAACTTTCGACCGATCGCCTTATCCACCCAACGCAGCCAGGTCGTTCTTTTCGGGGGATTTCTGGACTCATCCGCGGTAATGGCCGCCCGTCCGCTGGGCTCCACTGCAAATTGCCTGACGCCAGTGGCCAGTGGCCGGTGGACGGTGGACGGTGGCGGATGGCCGAGCGGTGGTGGTTTTGTGTGGTCACTACTCCGTAAGGTGGGTGACTCTCTCGTTCGCAGGCTAAACTACTGCGTCGAAAGTCGATAGTCTCAGTGAAGCACGGCAACTTGCATCCATCTAGCATTCGTTATCTGACTCGGACGAGCAGCGGAAGGAGAATGGGTCGGAATTAGCCGGCCGAAATGTTCGAATATCCTGCAGACTTATGTCCATCGTTCCTTGCATAGTGACGGAATAGCCAGCGTGGCAGACCCCTGAATGCCATGCGTGGCATGCATGAGCCGACTCCATAATGTAAGGACCACAGCAGTCCCCGTCGCAGAGGCGACTAGACTTCCTCTTCCCAAAAGTTTCCTCTCACTCAACCACACTAAACACACGTAGCCCATCATCATGCAGGAACAGCACCAAGACACCAATCAGGGCCACCACGCGGTCGTCTTCGGGTGCTCTGGCATCAACGGCTGGGCGCTGGTCAACCAGCTGCTCTCCGACTACCCAGCGCCCGGGACGTTCAGCAGGGTGACCGCCGTTGCGAACCGTGCGTTCAGTCCGGCAGAGGCCCAATGGCCCTCCGATGATCGATTGCAGATTGTCTCGGGCGTGGACCTGCTAGCCGGCGACGATCAGGCGCTGGCCGCCACGTTGCGCGAGAAGATCCCTGCGGTTGAGACGATCAGCCATGTGTATTATGCGGGTGTGTATATCCCTTCCTCAGCTACCCCGGCGGTGCTCTTAACTGTTGATCGGAATATCGCATCATCATCCACTGACATAGACTCTGTCCATCGCCAGCCTACCGCGCCAGCGACAACGCCGCCGAAGAATGCCGCCTGAACAAGGAGATGCTGCGCGCGGCCGTGCAGACGTTGGAGACGCTCT